CCAAGGATTTTTTAGCATAATCTCTCTCTCTCTCTCTCTCTCCCTCTATTCATGCCTGAACAAACAACCAAATAATGTATAGAAGGTAACAACAATATAATACGTTGTAGAATTAAGTCATATTACAGTAAATCAGATTGACTCATCTTTAATCAATGCGTATTCGGGTCAACGCCTCGACACTCATCCATCTCTCCATGTGGGCAGTGGTGCGTATGTTCATCCCAAAGTGGACAAAGGTGGACGCGATCACAGACATGTCCAATAACATGTGCTCCTATCATCTTTGCCAGCTTGATAGGACAGGAAAGGAATCACCATTTTCTACAATTTACTTACTTGTTTGTTTATTATACAATAAATTACTGCTGACATAGAATTACGCGGTAACCATGGGTACTCTTACAGGAACATATGACACATTCCTCCTGCCATTATTGTAGCTGCTAAAGATTTTCGATTCATCAACGATTTATCAAGGCTTACAATAGTAATGGAACGTTGCTAATAATGAAAAATTATTCAAGGTTCTCGGAAAATAGGTTGCTCCATTCCATCCCATATTTGATAAACTTATCTTCCCATTGTAATTGCCATGGAATGTCGGTAGGTCATGGTAGGCCCCTCATTTTGAGACAACGCAACTTTTTGAAACCGGACGGTAACCGGACCAACTGTATGCAATATTTTCGAATCATATTTCAACCTCCTCATTTCTGGGTAAAATCTGGAAATCCCTGGGCCCCATAGATATCTAAGTTTAGTCTAAAACCCCCATGAACATCCATAAACTATAGTTATATCCCTTATAAAGCCTAGTTATCCCCATCCCCGTCCCATGTCCCAACCTCCAGTAACTGCGCGGCGCTTCCGCGACTCTCAGGTGGAAAGATGAAACAAAGCTCTGCAAGGCGTTGGATGGCGAAGCCTCAATGGAGAGCTGGCGTCAAGGGCCCCTAGATGACCTAGGTATCCTGAAATAGCTGGGTAACAAATAGTATTAAATAATAATTTCATATCGAATGACCAGCTTTTGTCCTAGATCCAACAAAATTCCAACAAATAATCCTAGATCCATTGATTATCTGCTGATTCCCCCTTTAATATGGTAATGTCATAGGTTTTGACCCGTCCCCATGTGGAGATGCGGGACCGCAGCCGTGAAACTATAGATACATGAATTGGATGTAAATTGGTTTAGTTCACTAGGGCCTAGGGGAACGATTGGATTTATATATGGCAGAAATAGCAAAAGTTGGGGTTACAAAATAAACGACCATAACTGGGGAGCCCGTTCCTGTGGTGGTTGGTGGGTTTTGGCTGGTCTTAATCATCTTAACCAATCAAGAAAGGACACAAGAGTCAGGAACCCCACAGTCTCTGGTGGTTGATGATTGTTGATGTTGTAAACCCATTAATCCAATCTACCTAACATTGAGCACTACCTTCCCGCAAAAAAATGAACAAGCCCCTCAACTATGAACATTTTGAGTCCCTGACACCAGTTGGCCCTCCAGAAAAACAATCCAGAGATGCAAATCTAAGTTCCCTACTCACTCCTCGCCTTGGAAGTGGCGTGAGATTTTGGGTTGAAGGAGTGCCTGCAAGAAATCTATCGCAGATCCACCTCCTTAATCTATCTGTCTATCTACCTACCTAACCCACTCTAATCTAATCTCATCTAATCTAGTCTATTTAACCTAATCTAATCTAATCTAACTTATCCTATCCATCTTTCTATCTAACCTAATCTATCTTATTTATTATATATATTCTATGATTTTGTTCTATTTTATCTATTTATCTTTCCTTCTTTCCTTTTTTATTCTGTTCTATTTTACTCAATTCTGTTCCATTCTATTCTATTCTAACCTCATCTAAGCTATCTATCTATCTATCTAACTAACTATCTAACCTATCTATCTATGTTTTTTTCTATTTATTTTTCTGTTTAATTCATATAATATATCATTATATATATATGTGTGTATATATATAAATATGTATATATATATGTATAATAACTATCAGTGTCTGTGTGTTTATCCAACCTCACCCGACGCAATCTTGTCTACACACAGTTTTACACAAATGGACGTACCCCTGTTCATCATCCATTATTTTCGGCTTTCCATGACATAAACCATCCATCTATTGGGGTGCCACCATTTTAGGAATATGACATGCCAGGCGCAACTGTGGCTCGCGCCAATCCGTGAAGGGCAACTGCTTCTCTACCAGGGTCTTCCTCAGCACTGCCATTTGGAGATGGTTGGGTTTACCTCATTTATCCTTTGTTTCCAGGATGGAATGGGTGATATTAATTTAACCCAATCATTTCACATATCATGTCAAGATTTCTAACTGTTCCTTAGAGTTTAGAGAAGTGAGTAACTCCATTTCTTGTGAAGTGCCCATCATATTATCTACAACTCACATATTTGTTAGCATCTCTAAACAACTGGAACTATTGGAGACTTAGAAATGATATGGTTCCATCCCAAGTCGTCCTCCCCAGTCGGTTCAGCCGGATCCACGGGTGGTTTGGTTCCAAGGATCGTCATGACCTGCTGAATCGATGTGCACTCCTGCGCTGGCTGGGGTTGGGCCCAGGACATCTTAAAATAAATTGGCTTGAAAGGCCATGGTTTACGGGGTAAATGCGCCAATAACATCACAATCATCGAAGGGTTTTTTGAAGTCAAACTTTCGACAATATGGACAAATGGAAAAGCAGAGGTGGGAAGAGTCAGAGAAGGGAAGAAGAGAGAAGATAAGAGAAGAGAAAGGGTCAGAAGAAAGAAGATGCAGGTGCGCGAAAAAGTAGAAAAGTCGCAATTCACTGTGTTTTTGCAATGAAATGATTGGTGGCTCTGGAGGGTCGAAAAGTAGGCTCGCCAAAGCGGCGGGTGCGGAGAGATGAAAAAATGCATTCCGTTGTGGCGTGAAGATGCGTGAAGCACATTTCGAAGTCAACATGTACAAAACGCTCCAGGGTCGGAGCACTTTTGGAAGTTGAGATGTCGAACAAGTGCACGCTGTTGTGGCGCGAATCACATTTCCAAGTCAAAATGCACAAAAAACGCACCAGGGTCGGAGCACTTTTGGAAGTTGAGATGTCGAAAAGCCGTCGTGGCGCGAAGCACATGTCAAAGTCAAAATGTGCAAAACACACCATTGTCGGACCACTTTTGAAAGTTGAGATGTCGAAAAAATGCACGCCGTTGTGGCCGGAAGCACATTTCCAGCAAAATGCTAAAAACACCACATGCTCGGACCACTTTTGAAGGTTCAGATGTGGTGTCGCGTAGCAGGCGCAAGGGATTCTGCACCTTGCCAAAAGTAAGCAGAAGGTGAAGGTTTTGGAGCAATCTCAAAAGCGCTGGCAAGTGTGGGGCATTTGAAGAGGATCTGGAAACGCATTTCGCGTGGCAGGCGGGGTCAAAAGTTGAAAAGCTGACGTGTTCGGAGCGCTTTTGGACGTTCAGATGTCGTTTGCATGGCAGGCGCAAGGGATTGATTCAGCATCAAACGTGAGGGTTTTGTAGCAGTTTCAACTACAACCACCACGACGCTACACTACACTCCACTCTGCTCCGCTACAGCTAAGCTACAACTACAACTACAACTACACTACACTAATCACATTACACTACACTAATTACATGAGGCTACACTAATTACAGTACACCACCACGCTACACAACACTAATTACATCTGAATACATTAAACTACGCTACGCTAAACTACACTACCCTCCACTACACTACGCTCCACTGCACTCGATTACACTACACTAAACTACAACTACAGCTACAACTACAACTACCACAACACTACACTAATTACACTACACATCACTACACTACACCACACTAAGTACAACTACAGCTACAGCAACAACTACGCTACTTTACACTATACTAAACTACACTGCACTAACTACAACTACAACTACAGCTACAACTACGCTACTTTAAACTACACTACACTACACTGCGCTACGCTAATTGCACTACACCACAGCTACAACTCCACTACGCTACAACTACAACTACAGCTGCACTGCACCACACTATATACATCCAGCAGTTGTGGGTGAGGTGACCGACCCGGTGACCACTGTAACCATTGTAACGACTCCAAAAAACACAACTCCAACGACCTTTCAGTCCATCAGTGGATTCGCTCTGCCATTCGTGATTCACAACAACCAACCTCTCCTATAGGTTTCCTATTTTTGAAACTTCCGCCACCGCCTTGTGCGGTACTACTGGTATGCAATGATTGGCATGTTGTGGGTTTTAAATGTTAGGTCTCTGTTAGGTAAACGCATATGTAGATAGATGCTAAAATTAGCAAACATCAAGCACCAGATAGCACCAGCCTCATGAGGGAGGCGATTGGAGATGACTTCCACCACCAAGCATCCCAAAGCCCAAACATCCACCTGCTTCGATTCGGCATGTGACACACGTTGCAGGAAACACAATGGATTTGACATGTTTTTTCCAATGGCTTCAATTCCGGGAAGCTTTGATCTGAACAGTTGAGCCATCTGACACCCCAATGCATGGATAGTCATCTTCGAAACAGGTTGCTACAGTAACAAGTTTCGAGTGGAACATGCTAGAAGAACGGTGAAACAAAAACGTACAAAACCCTGGCAGAAATCAAGAAACAATGTAACAAACATGCAAAAAATGCACGGCCACTAAAAATAAAAAACAAAACCCATGCAAAAAGAATGCAACACATCACTTAAGCAACATGCGAAGCAGAAAGGAACAACTTCTGTGTGCTGTGTGGTTTTCCTGTTTCTTCTTTGTTTTGGCTTCCTCTTTCACAACACAACCCAAGAAGTCGCCCCTCGCCTTTTCGGTGATCTTGCCTTTGGAGTCAAAGAGCTCAGGTGCCATGTACCTGTCAAACAATGACCAAGGATGAGAAAGGCAGGCGAAACATGTTAGTCTGTACATGTCTGTAAGATATTGTAAGATATCGTGCTGTGTTCATTTAGCTTCACACATGAAGACGATTTAAGATGTTCAATGAGTAGCGTCTAATTTGCGAGAGGCTTGGCGAAAGAACCTCCAAAAAAGCAACACAGCTGAGCCAGCCTTGTTTAACCGTCAAACTATGACAACAACAGCAGCAGCAGCAGCTCAAGATACCTTGGTGATCCGCCCTCATTGTCTCGACGACCTTGGGAACAATCTGCAGCGAAGGGTGGGACATGGTGGGACCCAACAGTTTTGTTTGCCCCGACAAGTGTATACCCTATCGTAAACTGACATGGCTATGGAAAATTTCCAATTTATTGATGATCTACCTATTTACCCGTTAAAATTTGAATGGTGATTATGTTAGTCTACTGGATGGTACTTCACATGCAAAGGAGTGGTTAGAATCAAGTTGTGACGGGGCATGCAATTGAGAAAAACAACACGTTTTCCAAGGGGTTGATATGTTCCAAACATATTTTCTCGGGTTCACACTTCTAGCGCCAACTGCGATTCATTGTCCTCAGGAGGTGGTCACCTTTGGAGGGGTCTCCATTAAGTTGTGGTGTTGATTGCCATGATATCCCCAAACAACAATCTTCTGCTTTATGCCCCGATCTTAGCTGCCGAAATCACCATTCAATGGTATGTATGCCTGTATGCATGTATGTCTGTATGTATGTATGTCTGTATGTCTGTATGTATGTCTGTATGTCTGTATGCCTGTATGCCTGTATGTCTGTATGTCTGTATGTCGGTCTGTATGTCTGTATGCATGTATGTCTGTATGTATGTATGTCTGTATGTCTGTATGCCTGTATGTCTGTATGTATGTATGTCTGTATGTCTGTATGCCTGTATGTCTGTATGTCTGTATGTATGTCTGTATGTCTGTGTGTCTGTCTGTATGTCTGTCTGTATGTCTGTATGTCTGTATGCCTGTATGTCTGTATGTCTGTATGTCTGTATGTCTGTATGCCTGTATGTCTGTATGTCTATATGTATGTCTGTATGTATGTCTGTATGTCTATATGTATATGTGTATGTCTGTATGTCTGTCTGTATGTCTGTATGTCTGTATGCCTGTGTGTCTGTATGTCTGTCTGTATGTCTGTATGTCTGTATGCCTGTATGTCTGTATGTCTGTATGTATGTCTGTATGTATGCCTGTATGTCTGTCAGTATGTATGTCTGTATGTCTGTATGCCTGTATGTCTGTATGTATGTATGTCTGTGTGTCTGTATGCCTGTATGTCTGTATGTCTATATGTATGTCTGTATGTCTGTATGTATATGTGTATGTATGTATGTCTGTCTGTATGTCTGTATGTCTGTATGTATGTATGTATGTAGGTGTGTATGCATATGTGAATGTATGTGTGTATGAATGTATGTATGTATGTCTGTATATCTGTATGTCTGTATGTATAGGTAGGTAGGGAGGTATGTACGTATTCGTGTATGTAACTGTGTATGTATGTATGTCTGTATGTCTGTATGCCTGTATGCCTGTACGTATGTATGTCTGTATGTCTGGATGTCTGGATGTATGTATGTATGTATGTGTCAAGTATGTCTTTATGTCTGTATGTATGTATGTCTGTATGCCTGTATGTCTGTATGTCTGTATGTATGTATGTATGTAGGTAGTTATGTATGTATATGTGTATGTATGTATGTGTGCATGTATGTATGTATGTCTGTATGTCTGTATGTCTGAATGTCTGTATGTATGTCTGTATGTATGTATGCCTGTATGTCTGTATGTCTGTATGTATGTCTGTATGTATGTCTGTGTGTCTGTATGTATGTCTGTCTGTATGTCTGTATGTCTGGATGTATGTATCTATGTATGTAGGTACATAGGTATGTCTGTATGTCTGTCTGTATGTGTGTATGTATGTGTGCATGTATGTATGTATGTATGTATGTCTGTATTTCTGTATGCCTGTATGCCTGTATGTCTGTATGTCTGTATGTATGTGTGTGTGTATGTATGTGTGTGTATGTGTGTGTATGTATGTGTATGTATGTGTATGTATGTGTATGTATGTGTATGTATGTGTATGTATGTGTATGTGTACATGTATGTATGTGTACGTATGTGTATGAATATGTATGTATGTGTATGTTTATATATGTGTATGTATGTATGTATGTATGTATGTGTGTATGTATATGTGTGTATATGTGTGTGTATGTGTGTGTATGTATGTGTGTGTATGTATGTGTGTGTATGTATGTGTATGTATGTGTGTGTATGTATGTGTGTGTATGTATGTATGTGTGTGTGTGTATGTATGTGTGTGTATGTATGTGTGTGTGTATGTATGTGTGTGCGTGTATGTATGTGTGTGTATGTATGTGTGTGTATGTATGTGTGTGTATGTATGTGTGTTTGTATGTATGTGTGTATGTATGTGTGTATGTGTATGTATGTATATATATGTATGTGTATGTATATGTATATGTATCTTTATCTGTATATGCATCTGTCTGTCTGTCTGTCTGTCTGTCCGGTCGGTCGGTCGGTCTGTCTGTCTGTCTGTCTGTCTGTCTGCGTGTCTGCGTGTCTGCGTGTCTGCGTGCCTGCGTGCCTGCGTGCCTGCGTGCCTGCGTGCCTGCGTGCCTGCGTGCCTGCGTGCCTGCGTGCCTGCGTGCCTGCGTGCCTGCGTGTCTGCGTGTCTGCGTGTCTGCGTGTCTGCGTGTCTGCCTGTCTGGGTGTCTGCGTGTCTGCGTGTCTGCGTGTCTGCGTGTCTGCGTGTCTGCGTGTCTGCCTGTATGTCTGTATGTCTGTATGTCTGTATGTCTGTCTGTCTGTATGTATGCATGCGTGCATGCATGCATGCATGCACATGCATGCATGCATGTATGTATGTATGTATGTATATTTCCTAAAATGGTGGCACCCCAAATGATCCATTTTAGTTTTCTAAATTTTATGAAATAAACCATCCAGCTATTGAGGTATCCACATGAATGGAAACCCGATAGATAGTAGATGCTTTGGGTTCGGTGGATCTCCCATGATATAAACCCGTTCAATCCCGTTGATATTCATGCTATCTCCATGTCCTTCTGAGGTGTCCTGCTGATGTGGGTCTTCTCCATAGACTAGCGCAATGCGGAGCTTTGGGGGATTTAAACCATTCAAAACTGCGGAATTCACAAGATTTAAGCATCAACTATGGGATATATATGTTATACATATGACATGATTTAACCATACAAGATGTAGTATGTAAGAATATTGAAGTGATTTCAGCCACAATGGGCATTTGAACACAATTTTGAACACCACATTAATTAGAATAACTTTGATGCATTATAAGCCAAGGTTCACTGAGGCAATTTTGATCAAGATTTACGATTCTGATGCAAACTTGGGATCCAACCTGTTCGGGGCTTTCTGTGATTTCTTTGCCCTAAAGTGCATCCCGAGGCAGGAAGGAAGCAAACTCAGCTGAATGATAATGAATAAGTCTCCGAATCAATTTCTCAACATATGTCAACACACGCCAATGCGAGGAGAATCCGCTTGGATTCAAAGAAATCTTGGCTCCTGCGCTGGGCCTGCGTCAGCCCAAAGTCACAAAGCTTGGCGTTGAGCTCATAATCCATGATGACCTCCAACAGGGTCCAACCATTTTTTGGGATGGCCCCCCAAAAGAATACAGTAGCACATTGAATAGGAAAAACATGGAAAAACCATGATTTATATGATCTTCTCAGCCCGATTTTGAGGGAAGCCTTTTCTTAGACAAACCCACATGTGCCATGACATCATGATCGTGGGAGACGAGCTGAGCTGTGATAATCTCGTAGCTCAACCTTCAAACGACCATGGCGCTTGCAGTCCACCGAATGGATTAGTTCCGATAGAATAAGTTAAATAAATATGAATACCCTCTGGTTATTTAACATAGCCATGGAAAATGGACCATTTATAGATGATTTTCCCATTCAAACCTCCATTTATAAGGGTTTTCCAGATGGTATGTGAGTCATAACCCTAAATGGTAAATCAGATTTCGTGATTTCACAGCCATGGCCAGCCCTGAGAATCCCAGCGTTCATACTCTTTAGGTCACGGTGGACAAAGGGAGGAGTCTTGCTGCGAAGGAAAGTCACCTGAGCCGTGGCTGCATCCCTACTCGGCTGACGCCTATCATCCTTATGAGATGTCTTCACATATGCCTGCAGAGCTATACGGAAATATAGATATACATCTCGTACCTGCATATCCTACATTTTGCCCGGCAAAAAAAAGAGTATATACCACACACACACACATATATATATATATGTATATATATATATCATCATCATCATCATCATCATCATCATGATGTGCATATATATATATATATATTGCAAGGTATACACTGCACGACTATCTGCATCACGATGCGCGTCTATTCCTTCCAATTTTCCCATTGAGCCAAGGCACGCCCTCTGAGACCTGGCGCTTTGAACGCGGATGACTGCTGGAGAACTCACCCAAGAATCCGTGGAGAATGGGCGGAATGGATGGATTGAACTGAAATGGACTTAACAACATTATCGAAGCAAGTTTAGAAGTCAAACTTCCGACAATATGGACAAATGAAAAGCAGAGCAGGGAAGAGGCAGAGAGAAGAGAAAGATTAGAAGAAAGAAGAGTAAGAAGAAAGAAGATGCAGATGCGTGAAAAGGTAGGAAAGTCGCGAAACACTGTGTTTTTCAAAAGTAGGCTCGCTAAAGCGGCGGGTGCGGAGCCAGCTGGCCAGATGAGAGATGAACAATTGCACGTCGTTGTGGCGCGAAGCACATTGCCAAGTCAAAATGTACAAAACAAACCAGGTGCGGACCACTTTTGGCAGTTGAGATGTAGAAAAAGTGCACACCGTTGTGGCGCGAAGCACATTTCGAAGTCAAAATGTACAAAACACACCAGCTCCGGACCACTTTTGGCAGTTGAGATGTCGAAAAAGTGCACGCCGTTGTGGCACGAAGCACATTTCGAAGTCAAAATGTACAAAACACACCATTCTCGGACCACTTTTGGAAGTTGAGATGTCGAAAAAGTGCACGCCGTTGTGGCGCGAAGCACATTTCGAAGTCAAAATGTACAAACCACACCAGCTCCGGACCACTTTTGGAGGTTGAGATGTCGAAAAAGTGCACGCCGTTGTGGCGCGAAGCACATGTCGAAGTCAAAATGTTAAAAACACTAAAGGTTCGGACCACTTTTAGAGGTTCAGATGTCGAAAAAGTGCACGCCATTGTGGCGCGGAGCACATTTCGAAGTCAAAATGTTAAAAACACTAGGGGTTCGGACCACTTTTGGCGGTTCAGATGTCGCTTCGCTTCGCTTCACTAGATTACACTACATTACACTACACTACACTCCACTACACTACACTCCACTACAACTACAACTACACAACTACAACTACACAACTACACTACACCCCACTACACTCCACTACACTAAATTACACTACACTACATTACACTACACTACACTCCACTACACTACATTACACTACACTACCTTCCACTACACTTCACTACCCTCCACTACACTACACTCCACTACACTACAACTACACAACTACACTCCACTACACTCCACTACACTCCACTACACTAAATTACACTACACTACACTACATTACACTACACTACACTCCACTACATTACACTACACTACACTACCTTCCAGTACACTTCACTACATTACACTACACTCCACTACACTACACTCCACTACACTCCACGACACTACACTCCACCACACTAAATTACACTACACTTCACTACATTGCACTACACTGCACTCCACTACACTACACTACCTTCCGCGACACTTCACTTCACTACACTACACTCCACTACACTACAACTACAACTACACAACTACACGCCACTACACTCCACTACACTAAATTACACAACACTAAATTACACTACACTACACTACATTACGCTACACTACGCTACATTCCACTACACTCCACTACACCACGCTACATTACACTACACTACATTACACTCAATGACACTGCACCACAGATAGACAGGTAGACAGATAGATAGATAGACAGATAGACAGGTAGACACCTAGACAGGAAGGAGGGAGAGAGAGAGAGAGATAGATAGATAGATAGATCGATAGATAGATAGATCGATAGATCGATAGATAGACAGACAGACAGATAGATAGACAGATAGATAGATAGATAAATACATACATAGATAGGTAGGTAGGTAGGTAGATAGTCAGAGAAAGAGAGAGAAAGAGAGGAGACCTCAACCACCTTTCAGTCCATCAGTGGCTTCGCTCTGCCATCCCTGATTCACAACAACCAATCTCTCCTATAGGTTTCCTATTTTTGAAACTTCCGCCACCGCCTTGTGCGGTGCTACTTGTATTAAACTTATTAAAAAAGAGTGGAACTATGTTTTCATTTCAGTTGATTTGAATGGATTTCAACCACAGTATCTGCATGAACCACAAGAAAATTGTTTTTCTTTAGTTGCTGTGAGGAAAACTTGGCAGCGGGAAACTGCAGGTCAAGCAGGTCGAGGAAACACCCTCAACTCAATGATTTCCTACACATGCCAAGAGTCACCATTTCATCCCCTTTCAATCGATGCTTGTGGCCAGTGCGCCAGTGGCCTGCTTGGCGATGTGGTGACGCCTCTCGTGTTCGATCTTCAACCTTGAGGCGGGAGATTGATGTATCCCCCATTTTCGGAGAAAGAAAAAAACAAATGGGTCTGGTCTGGTTTCCAATGGGCCAAGCCTTGCCATTTTTCTCCGGATGCAGCCGCCTTTTTTATTCGGCTGGGAACAGCTTCGGTCGAATCTTTACACGGGAAAGCGCAAAATGTGATGCATTTGTGAAGGCCACCAATGTCACCAATGAAGGATTTGAGCCAACTCTTGGTGTCATTTTAAAGTTGTATTGCAACGATTCTCACCATTTCACACCTGACAGGGAAAGAAAGGACCTTTCTTCATGTCAAAATTATGCGAAAACCCCTGGCCGTCTCCTGGTACCTTGGTGGATCGTTTCTGCTTTGTCCCTGTCAGAGGGCTGTTTTCTGTTGATGTCTCAAGAAACAGGGTGCCTTTGAGCACTCTTCAATGTCTAGCTGTTTAGCCCACTTGGATGTCCACCATGATTTAAATATTATATCTGCAACACGTGCAGTCATCCTGCCACTCTCAGCCAGCCCCTGGGCCATAAAGACCCAACAAGACAACACCGGCAACGAGTGTGAGGGCTCCTGCGAGCACGAATGATCACTGGAGGTGTAGCGAGGCGACAGATTGGACCCAGGGACACTCCCGTAACCTCCATTGGACCGCTCCCGCTCCTCCCCAGAAGACACCGATGGAGTTGCCAGTGATCTCTTTGAACACATAGATGCCCCACAAGCCACCAAAGAACAAGGCACACTGGAGGATGGGATAAGCCACCCCGTAGGGCAGCGAAAAGGGTGGGCTTTGAGCTATGACTGAGCAAACATTACCTGTGGCACGGGTGGTGGTTCTGCTGACTTCGCAGCTTGGCACCATCTGCAGAACACGATGCACATATCCTGCAGTAGTTATATTACATCATTACATTGGCAATTCAAACAACATACAATCATGAATGAAAACATAAATTTGAGTTTCCTTCTCTCTCTCTCTCTATATAGTTTAACCCCTTATAATGACAAACATTACGCCGAGATTGTCTCCAAGGTGCCAGCGTTCCAGAGCAAGCCGCTGGCCAAGCCCGCACCGATCTGGTCCAAACTGAGCTGAGGGAAACCGGGCTCCTTCTGGATCCCCTTCCAATACCTCGACCAAGTCGCGGGTTTACTGTTGAATGGGACTCCACAATGGGATTTATAAAGGGGTTTCAAGTCGTTTAATGTAGTTTACTGAGGTTTAGTGGGATTTTATGTGGTCTATATAATGTTTTTTTTTGGTGGTTACATGGAATAGTATTGGAGGTTAACCTGTTTATAACATTTTATAACATTTTATAACCAATATGATGTGTGGGTATGCATGAACATGGGACTAAGTGGAGTTTCATGGGATTCTTATTGGGATAACCCTCAGATGATGATCCGTTGGAGTGGGGATAACGGTAGCCAGGAAGCTGCCAACTGCCAAGCTATGCAGTTTTGATGGTTGCAAAAGTGATGGTTGCTTGGAAAAAATATGGTAGCCCGAAATTTGATGCCTATATATATATATAGTATAATATATATATAGTAATATATATATAGTAATATATATATATATCTACAAATAACGCCTAATCACCGGTGTTCCTATCAAAATGGTTGTTTTGAGGTACCCCAACATCAGTGTGTTTTGGTTAGACAATTGATCGTGATAACTGATGCCTGGCTCAGCTTTCAATCTCAAATCCAGGGAGGTACAGTGCTTCTTTGCCGCCTTAACCCACAACGAAGTGATTTCAAGACAAAATGATGCAACCTGTACATGTCTTGGCCGACTTGCGTTGTGAGGATACGATGTACCCTCCGTGTAATTGAGTGTACCAAAAATATCCAACAAACCAAACTAAACCCACCGGGATAATCTGATAGCTGTTCTACTAGTTCTCCCTGCGGCAACTGGCCATTCAGCATCCTTGTCTTGCGCCCAAGGTGCGCAAAAGTGACCATAACGCCAGCTATCAAAGCTCCAAAGCCGAAGGATGGAATGGCTGCCAGACCGGCAACATCTGGTGGAATGTACTTGAAAGGAACCTCAGTAGTTTCTGAACTTCAGGCAAAATTCACCACGTCAACTGGAAAACCGGAAAAAACCCATGCTGTTGTTTCAAAAAGCAATACGGCCCCAAGTTGGTATGAGCATCGCCGGATGCATCAAATTTGCCAGCTTAGGAGCAGGGAATGCAGAATTGAGGGTCCGATTTGTGACTGAAAAGGCATCCTTTAGGTTCTTCAACATGTTTCACACCCAACAGGAGCCATTTCGACTTGGTGCCAGAACAACGCAGTAAGCACAGTAACTTGATATATAGATATTATACCTATAAAAATATATATAGGTCAAAACCCTTGTACCCTGCTGTTCACACATGTTCACACCAAAATGAAATGACTTGCAAATACATGTTCATTCCCCCAACAATCTGATATCATAGGTTGTGGCTCATCCTCAAATCATATCCATAAATCACAAGATACCACTAAGTGAATATACCATTGTGCAACATCATATATTCCCTTTATATATTAGGTGTTGATCCAACCAGCGCCGATTTTTGTTTCCACCTTGCCGGCAAGGTGCCAAAACGGATCCACCGAAGAGCCCCACCGCCAGGGCTGATGCGATTCCGGCGGTCCGATCCTCATTTTTGTTATCACATGATATGTTAATCATCAGGGGTTGGCATTGATATCATCTCATTAGGTTGTGAGGGTTGGTAAATCTCATGTTTTGACATGATTTTGGGGCATTTTGAACATCATTTGAAACAGTATCTGGTGGAGATTCAAACCAAACACAATAATTGGGTGATGTGAAAAATTAGGACATCTACGCACTCCTGGGTCACAAAAAAAATACTGGACTTTTTGGGTGTTTCCTGAATTAGGGATAACCCCAAATCATCTAACATTAGACTATGTACTGAAACAACCTTAGTGTTTTAGAGTCCCGCCGGCACTTAAGATGTCTTCATGGGAACTGTCCGCTTCGAGGATGGTCCCAATCCAAATGGTTGTAGCCTATTACAGGGTGGTGCCCCCCAGCTATAAGTTGGCGTAGAACCCCATCTAACTCGAGTTTTAACTAACCACCCTAAACCCTAGTTAGTCCAGTCAACTATGGGGCACCACCTTGTAAGTGTTTTATCCCATAGATAGTCGTAAATTAACCAGAATTCACTGGGATGTTCCCATTTTCCGACACACCCAACTATCACATCGAGTTGGTTAATTGAAGGTTACTTGTATTTTTTTGGTTGTTGTATCTCATTCCATCCCAGTGAAATCCCATAAATCGCCATAAAAATTGACTGGCAAAATCCCAGTTCCATGCGATCTATCCGTATCTATATAACTCATTTCAAGTCGGCTGGGTAAATCCCATAAAATCATCATTAAATCACCACTAGATTGGAATACAACCCCATTATACCACTAAATCCCATAGAGATCCCATTAAATCCCATGAAAATCATTAGAATCATCATGAAATCACCATGAAATCCCCTTAAAACCTACCAATAAAAACAGGGCCATTTTCCCCTGCCGGTGTTGCAGAACGAGTCTCACCGGCGCTGGCCTCAGCCTCCGCCTCCGCCTGGATGTAGTCAGAGCCCGTTGTCCCACCGCTGAGGCACCCGGCGATGCTGTCGCAGTTCACGATGATCAAAGCACCTGGGGAACTGGCGATGACTTGCAGCCATCAACGATCTGCATGGATTAATGGATTAGGAATAAACCGTAATCATCATAGTCATCCATATGCAATACTAATGAACTAATATGAATGATTATGATGATTATATTATATAATGGATTAATGGATGAATAATATATAAATAAATGTATTGCTTGTACGCATCAGTAGTATATCATTGAAAATATTAGGCCATTAACCATGCATACAAAACACATACAATGACAATTATCTATATATCCAATATAAACTAGTGGTATTATATGATTAATGGAAATAAGGAAACATTGTGAAATACTGGGATTCCTGGGGATTTCACCAACAACAATGGGAATAGCAGGGGATATATCATCCAGTAAATTATATGTATGACATATTGATGGATAATTCGTATATCAATGATACTATAATAACTACAACAATGGATATGACCTATATACTGTTTTCAATAAAAATTAAAGGTACTATATTATTATATAATGGATATATACAATGGATAATACATATCGATACTTTTTGGTAATTTTACATAGCTGTGGAACATCACCCATATAGTTCGATCAGGTACCTATTCAACATGGTAAATTACCATAGCTTTGGTACTTAAGTTACCAAAGGGTATTAATACATTATATAAAACTATGTTATGTTTAAAGTTTATGTTTATATTACTATAAAATATTCATACTTAATTATTAGGATTGTAGGTTATGTGATGTGTATCATATATAAAGAGATTGCCATAGATGGATGAACATTGCTACTATATAAATACATTCTAGTATTTTACTCGTATCTAATAAATAATGGCAAACGTAATTAACGATAAATTACAATAATATGCAATAATGAATGTACACGTAATATAGCAACATCCCCCCAAAGGAACAAATATAAGAAAATAGAGTCACAGAGCCAGTGAAATTCATATATGGTGCGAATGATTAGTGCAAAAAAACAACATTGCAAATTGTAACTATATACAGTAATGGGGGTGACCAATGTATATTTTGCATTAATAAAAGAAATCTTAAATATCTTAAGCTGTGAATGGTGATTTGAATCCATGACGCATTGTAATGGCTCCATCATTTCTATGGAAAACAGCCTTCTTAATCATCCATAATGGAAAAAAACAACTATAATCAATGAGGAAAATCATTGGTGACATATACCAGGGAAGATCAACAAACATCCTCCAGTAAACACACGACTAGCTATGGAAATCCATGGGTTTTCCCTTGGAACTGATCCAGAAAGTGATTTGAATTTCCTGCG